CTGGGTGAAAATTTATGAAACAAATTGGTTTTCTTTTCTTTTTCAAAATTCTCATTTTAAAAGTTATTATTAATTTGTAGTTAATACATATATCATTCCATAGTTCAATTACATCAAGCAGAATTGTTGGTTTTCTATCCAGTAATTCATGCACATTTTGTTTCATGACATGATTGCAGTCTCACCAATGTAACAACATTCTTCTCTTTCAGTATTTACCATTTTCATTTGCCCTTCTTTTCTAATCCTCTTTACTTTTAAGCTTTATTCCTGGGCAAATGCTCCCCTTTTGTGCATTGAGTAGGGCTATGTCATGAGAATTAATTGTTCTTAGGTTAGGGTGACTGTTAAGTGTGAGATCAAAATTCATTCATCTATCTACAGATTATATTTTCTCTGATTTACCTTAACAACATCATCATTAGTGTTTTGATTAAGGACATTGTGAATGACCATTATGGGACTTATGATAGTTCTATTGATATTGCTATTAATTAAGTCAATGGATTAGAATTTTAAACCCAATCCAGAAAAATTAAGTATACCTATATAGGATAGTTTTTTGGTCAGAATACATGGGCTATTGATTTGTACAGATTAACAACTTAGGTGATTGGACACAATTTACATAAATGAAGGTTGGAGATAGGGAAAACCTTTAGATAATGTTCATTCATAAAGGTTATACTGGACTAAATGTTATAAAAAGGCAGAGTATGGAAATGGCATGTACATCTCATATACGTTTGTCTTGAATTGCTGGTTATTGGGCATCCTCAAGACATGGCTTTGAACCAAAGGCAATGGCTATCTCATCTATGGCTTGGGGAGAGTCGTAATCTGGTTCTTCTCACATTAGGGAACTTCAGTCTTAGGCTCATGAGAGTATTTAGTTCTTTAATATGCTACTGGAGTGTCTTAGGTAAAGTCCAGTTTGCTTGGGAGTTCCATGTTTGATCCTTCTGATGTGGCCTACAAAGGCTATTGTGCTTCTCAAAAGAACAAGGTTTAAAGTCCTGGTACTCTATAGGGCCCAGCCTAGGTCCCTAAGGGGCTGAATAAAAACTAGGCAATAAGTGCCCAAATAGGGACATGGTACTGAGCTTATACCTCCGTTTGTGATCTATATAATTAATGTTGAGCAATTTCCCCCAATGTTAGGCTGTCCCACCCAGTTTATCCACTGACCAAAGCACAGTTACCTTCTCCAAGATAAACATGCCCTGCATCCCATCACCTCTTCACTTCGGGTTCCAGTTAGGTTTTTTAATCACTCTTTTAAGAGTATTCGTTAATTTGGGGTGAGTGTAGAGTAATATTATATGACAGAAAAGGGTTGGTCTTCTTTGTCTCACTGCATCATGGGAAATCGACCCAGTTGAAGTGAGGCTGTCCCTGTTGAAGTGGTTAAAATGTACAAATAAGGTGGTGGTATATGGTTCATGAGCACTTGGCAGGCACACTATCTCTCTGTCTGAGAAGCTTCAATAGATGTCTAGATGGTTAGGGAAGAGAAGTCTACATTTGTCTTGGTGTTTATTTTTATAGTAGTGGTCTCATACTGTATTTGTCCTTTTTGTGATTGACTAATTTCACTCTGTAAAATGGATCCCAGGGTCATCCATGTCATGAGGTATTTCATCACTGCTTTTTAAGGAATTCATAGTATGCCATTGTGTGTATATATCAGAGTACTGTTTATTCATTCTACTACTGAGTACTTGGACTGCTTTCAGCTTCTTATTGTGAATTGTGCTGCAATGAACATGGAAGAGCATACGTCTATTCATGTTCTGTTTCTTAATTCTTTGTGGTATATGCATAGAAGTATTGGATTTCTATTCTCAGTGCATGTTTACAAGCCCACCAACAATGTATAAGAGTTTCACAGTCTTCACATCCTCTCGAGCATTTATTGTTTTCTGGGGGTTTTGTTTTGTTTTGTTTTTTAAATTGGGCTATCATTGTGGACGAGTTTCAATCTCTTCACAACCTCTCCAGCATTTATTGTTTTCTTTTTTTGGGGAATTGGGCTATCTTTGTTGTTGTAAGATAATCAAGGGTATTTTTAAAATTTGTTTGCCATTTGAGTATTATTTTTATTGAACTGCCTGTTCATACATTTAAGCCACTTGTAAATTGAGTCATTGTTATTTTCTTAGTGAGATGGTGTAGACTTCTATAGATTTTAATCTTTAGACCCTTTTCGATTGTGTTGTTGCTGAAGATTTTTCCAAGCCTGAGGGCTCTTGTTTTACTCTTTTTATGAAGTCTGTTGATACATATAAATGTTTTCTTTTTAGTAGGTCCGATTCGTCTGTTTTTTTTTCTATTGTGTGTGTTATATTATTCTTGGTAGCGTGTATGCCCTGAAGGAGGGCCCTTAAGTTTGTATTAATTTTCCTATTAATGATCCATATTGCTCTGAGGTTTATAGTTAGATCTATCTTGAGTTTGTTTTTCTGCATGAGAAGCAATATGAGTCCGGTTTCATTCTTCTGCATATGAATATCCAAATATTACAACAACATTTTTTTAATAAACAGTCCTTATTTCTTTTGTTATTTTTTCACCATTTATCCAAAATGAGTTGACTGTAGGTGAATGCATTTGCTTCTAGCCTTTCTATTCTGTTCCACTGGTCTATGTCTCTATCTACCAGTCTCAGGATATTTTGATTATTGTGGGTATGTATTAGGTTTTGAGGTCAAGTAGTATGAGGTCACCTACCTGGATCTTATTCTTTTTTTAAAAAAGTTATTAGTTTGGATTTAATATCAATTCATATTTCAATCATGTCAAATAGAATCATACAATTGCTATCACAATCTGTTTCCAAGTATTCTTTTTCTACATGACCTCATGGACATCATCTTCTTTTTTCCCCATCACCACCATTGTACTCCCCGCCCACAAACTCCTTATTCCACTAGCTGTCCCTCTAGGTTCATCATTCCTAGGTTTCATATACTGAAAATGGAAAAGCATATAATACAGCTTCAAAAGGGTCATGTCCATGGACATAACACCTCTGAGATACACTCTAATGTGAACAAACAAAAATCAAAGAAAACAATACAAACCAAAAACACAGAAAAATTTTGAATCCAGATAAGGCCTATCGCACATCATAGGGGGAATCTACTGACACAATTTTAACTGTTCAGGTTAGATTTATGCCTTTGATCTTCTATACTAATCTCTCCCAAGCACTCTGTTTAGTGACCACTGCCCTCAGTTTTAGATGAGAGGAGTTATCCGGAAGCTTATTTCCTATATAATTCCACAAATGAGTCTTGGGCTCCCACTGTCATCCACCATTTCCTTCTGCACACCGGAGTCTCACAATGTAGACGTTCATAGCGGTCTTTCTTTCAGCTTCAGGTTATATACATTCCAATCTTTCAGTCACTTGCATGGCTGCTTGTTTGGAGTCAAGACTTTAAGACACCAGATGCTATTTCATCTGATAGACAGGCACCATCTAAGTTACTCACCACATTGTACTATAGCACCCATATTTCTGTGTTCCATTCCTGAAGGCAAGTGTCGAGCAAGACTGTGATATAAGACCTAATTGTTCTTAAGTTGGAGCTAGAATTTACTGAGAGCCCCAAACCCATTCCTGGATCTATGCTTTTTCAAATATTTGCTGTAACCTGGGAGTTAATACCTATGTCATATCAGTCCATAGTTTAATCACGTAAAAAAGAATCATACAATTGCTTCCATAACCAGTCTTCAAACATACTTTTCCTTTTAGATTCCTTTACATCATCTCCCTTTCATCTTCCCCACTCCTCTATATCCCTGCTTCCCCCAAAGCCCTTCCTCAATTTGCTTTTACTATAGGCTCAATGTCTCTGGGATTCACTTATAAAAAAACAGAAAAATGCATAACACAACTTCAAGAGGGTTAACCCAATGGCCATGTACCTCTGAGATACACCCTAATGTGAACAAACATAAGTAAAGTAAAACAGAATGTGCATCAAAGGATTGCCAGAGTAATATGTATCTTAATACAACATGTAGCTACATACTACATATAGCTAATATAACATAAAGCTACATACCTACTACATACAACATTGATGTAGCAAGACCTTGTTTGTCTGCCAACCAGCAGCACACCACTCTTGGTACAGTTGTCTTCTGCTTCCTCAGACACTATGTATTTTCTGGCTTAAGGCCTCAGGTTACAAGTGTGTCTGAGGTAGAGTCCAGTTCACCCAGAGGAATTCACACATGGGCTCTCACTGATGCAGCCTTTGGATCACCTACCCAGAAAGTCAGGATTCAGTGTCCCAGTGTCCCATGGCACCTGGTGAGGGCTCCTGAGATATCCCCAGAAACCTTAGTTCAATATTGCCCACTGCTGCTACAAGCCACTAAACACACTCCCCATCTAATGTCCCCCGAGTCATCCTCACTCACTCCTACCCCCACCTGAGAGTCAGCCATCCTTCACCACCTTCCAACAGACATGCACACATGTTCCCCGAAACTTGACTGTTTGCTCTTCCCTCTCCTGTGATGCCCCTTCCATCAGTATACCTCATCCCTCTGACAGGGCCACCTCCCTCTTCGGAGAACCTCAACCACATGACAACCATTCATCAGACAGCACCCCTGACCAACCCCCTCCACCGACCATTTGATTCCCATTGTTGTGAGGGGCCTTCTGGCCAAGTGACCTATACTATACTTGCCAGGAGTGGATGATGTTTGATTCATTGGCACTACTCAGGATCTTTGCCAGGCTGTCTTGTCATCAGTCAGAACATTGGCTTCTCTACAAGCTTGAGTTTGTGCTCATTCTGTCACGTGTTCCTACTGCAGTAGTCTCATACAGAATTTTTCCTTTTGTGCTTGACTAATTTCACTCAGCATAATGTCTTCCAGATCCCTCACATCATAAGGTGTTTCATGGTTTCATTGTTGTTTTTTTGGGATCAATAGTATTCCATTATGTGCATATACCAGAGTTTTTCTTTTTTAAGTGTCTGCAATGAAATTTATCCCTGAGGTCCAGAAAGCAAAACAGGGCCATGCATTACAGTGTTTCTGTGGCAGCCTTTTGGGCCAATGCCTGCCATGGGTGGGGCAGGAACTGAATTTGACACAGATGCCCAAGCAGAAATTTTTTTAATTCAATCTTCTATTGATGGGAATTTAGGCTGTTTCCAGCTTCTTGCTATTGTGAACTGTGCTCAAGGAACATGGGGGAGCAAGCGTCTATTCATGATCTGTTTCTTATTTCTTTGGGGTATGTGCTCAGTAATGGTATTGCTGGATCATATGGTATTTCAATGTTCATCTTTTTTAGGTATTGCCATATCTCCTTCTAGAGTGGCTGTACATATTTATAAGTCCATGAGCAATGAATAAACGTTCCTATCTCACCACACCTCTCCAACATTTGTTGTTATTCAGTTTTTTTAAAATTGGGCCACAATTCAGGAGGTAAGGTGTTATCTCATGGTTGTTTTAATGTGCATTTCCCCCATGGCTAGTGCCCAGGAGCATTTACTCATGTACTTATTAGCCATCCAAGGATCATTCTTTATGGACCAGCTGCTCAGGTCCTTTGACCACCTTCTCAACAAAAATCCAATGACAAAAAAAATAAAACAAACACAAAAAAAATCACAACACAAAAGCAACAAAAAAGAAAAGCTTGTAGTTAGTTCAAGGACTGTTTATTGGCCTTTAGGAGTGTTTTCCAGTTGAGTCTGATGGGGTGCCAAGCCCTGGCTCTAAAGTCTATTTTTGGTATTCCCTGGGAACTTCCTTGCTCTGTTCCCCTTGTTGTTCTGTTGCATTCCCTTAGTGTTTTTCCTCGGTGTGGTGGTATTAGATCGGGCAGAATTCCCACACTGTGTCTCCAGTGTTGTCCCCTGTAGGGCTATGGGTCAGTGAAGGATGTCATGTCTCATACTGGGAACGGCCATATAGTCTTCTCTGTGGATTGGCTGCTCTGAGCAGGAATATTGTCCTCTAGGCTTGGTGGGCCAGTTTGTGTTCCACTCTTTCTTCCTCCCCCTTCATTTGGTCCCATGTGCTCTAATCAGATATGGCCCTCTTTCTGAGCTGCAGCTTCAGTGCTGTCCTCTGAAATAAATTCTTCTGGGGGGAGGAGCAGGTGTCCATGAAGTTAGGATTCGGGCAGGTTCATACAACTCTTATCACAATCTATACATACATCCGTTTTATGTCAAACACATTTGTACATTTGTTGCCCTCATCATTCTCGAAATATCTGCTTTCTACTTGAGCCCTTGGTATCAGCTCATGAGGAAAATATGTCATAATTAAACTTATGGAATATACTAACATTCATACAATAGATCTATGAAAATGTATAATTCTTTTATTTCTAAACAACCTTTCTATAGTCCTTTTTCTTATATTTATTATATAAACCAAAAGCAAATTGTTATGTCTTGTCTTAACTACACAATACTACTATTGTGCTGTTTAAATATGACTTTATCTATATAAAAATTCTTAGATGTGCTTTAAAATACGTCGAATCAACCAATATTTATAATTTGTCTACTACACAAATGTTCTGTTACTGGGCTATAGTTAAACTAATCATATTTCTGCAGTCAAAAGTTGAGATTGCATAAATGAGATTTAAATACATGTAGAAATGAGTTTTACATAGTTGTTTAAGAGCATCTTGAAATATTTCAAAAGATAGTTAACATGTAAATCAATTTAGTTTTTTAAACATAAATTGCTACATTAATTTAGAGAGGGACAGATAACTTTTATCAGCCATGGTCTGAAAGCATTCTAATTTTTGTTGGATAATCTAGGTTACTGACTGAGTTAGTTAATTGTGCCAGCCTGGCTGATAATCACATGTGGTGCTGGTTGAAAGGCGGAGGGATAAATGGGTGGTGAAGCCTCGCCTTTCTAGTTCTCGGGTCTCTTGTTTTGTGATGGTTGTATCGGGTGCAGCTGCCTTAGCAGTTCCCTGCTTCAGCTTGCAAGATTGACTTCCTCCAAGACATCCCCAAGGAGAAGCCGCATGGATCTATCCCGATGCAGCCCTGGGTGCTGGAGCAGCCGTGTGGAGACCCTTTCCAGTGCTGAGATGCTTACACGTTCACGGACTCAGCTTTCCTCCTGCAGTCGGCGTCATTGCCTCTGTTTTGTGAGGTGGAGGACTTTGTGGACTGGTGTTGGGTTAATGGGTTAATGTTGGACTTGTGGGCTTGGGCAGCATTGGGTTGGGATGTTTTCGTGATGCACCTTTTCTTTACATAAAACTCTCTTATACATGAGTCGCTGTGGATTTGTTTCCCCAAAGTACCTAGACTAATACACTGACTGAGAATTTGCTTTCTTGGACTAGATGGACTATGCAGGCAAAAGTTATAGGAGGAATTTAAAATTCTTTATAAAATACACATAATTTTGAATTAATTTTTCTTAGAATTTTTTATTTGTTTTTGTGAATATACAAACAGAATATATACTGATTTTCAGCTCCGACATGTACAATTTGATGATGTTGATTATATTCTAAAAGTTGTGCAGCTGTTCTCATCCTTCTTCTCTGAGTTGCTCCACTCTCATTAACATAGATTCACTGCCTTTCTAATCCTTTAAGTGATTGTTGTCAATTTGATGCCGTGTAGATGATTCTTGAAATAATAAAATGCTTAAGGCAGGCATTTTTTACTAGTTAAGCTAAACTATTTTTTTGATAGACATAGACTTCTGGAAGTGTTTTTGGTTTAAGGTTGAAAGATTTTCTCATTGCAATAGTTTCAAGGGTTTGTTTAACCAGTCTCTATGGCTCCAGAAAGTTAGAGTCCATGAGCATTTGAACTTCTGACTGTGCTTTTTTCCTATTTCAGGAATTTTCCATGGAATCTTTAATACAATTTTTCATTAAGGTTGGGCAGGCACCATCATTTTTCTGAAGGAAAAACATCTGTGCATTTGAACTCTAGTGCTGGCAGAGAATAGTTAGAGTGTTATGGGCTGCTGAAAGAACAAATAGGTCTATGTGGAAGATGTACAGTCAGACTAATCCTTAGGGGCAAAGATCGTGAGGCTTTGTTTCAGGTATTTTGAACCTGTTATCAGGCAAGAGCAGCCCCCTGAGAAGGACAGGATATTTGGTAAAGTGAAGGGGCACTGAAAAAGATGAAGGCTCTTAATGAGATGGATTGACACAGTGCCTGCAACGGTGGACTCAAGCGTAAGAACAATTGTGAGGGTGGTGTAGGACTAGCCAGTGCGCAGTTCTGTTGTACACAGGGGTCCTTGTGAGTCAGAACGGACTCCATGGCACCTAACCACAGCACGACCCTCCTCCTCCACTTAGGATTTCAGAATAAAATCGCATGAGGTGTGTGCTGTACTCAGCACCCTTTGCAGTTACTCCTTTTTATATTTACACAAATTTTCCTAATTCAACCTGTACTTATACAACTTATTGAAATCAATTTCAATAATTGGCTATATAATCCTACCTTTAATCAATGTGATTTTTCTATTCCTGTTCATCTTTCTTCCTCCCTCTCTCCTGCCGCTGGTAACCATTAACAAATACATTTGCTTTCTGGCGGTCTTTAATTGATAAGATCATACAATATTTATCCTTATGTGATTGACTTATTTCACTCAGTGTAATTTCTTCAACTTTACTCCAGGTTGTTGTTGCTGTGGTTAGGTGCCCTCCAGTCAGTTCAGATTTACAGCAATGCTATGTACAAACGAACCGAATGCTGCCTCATCTTGCCCATCCTCACAATTGCTGTTATGTTTGAACCCATTACTACAGCCACTGTGTCAATCTGTCTTCCTGAGGGCCTTTGTCTTTTTTGCTGACCGTCTACTTTACGAAGCTTGACGCTCTTTTACAGGGACTGGTCTCTTCTGATAGCAAGTCCAAAATACCTGACATAGAGTCTCTCCATCTTGGCATATATGGAGCAGTCTGGCTGTATTTCTTTCAAGACAGATTTATGTGTTCTTCTGGTAGTCCATGGTACTTTCAATATTCTTTGCCAACACCATAATTAAAATGCACCAATTTTTCCAGTCTTTTTTAGTCAAAGTACAACTTTCACATGATTATGAGTGATTCAAACAAACTGGCTGTATCAGGTTAACATTCGTCCTCAATGACATCACTGCTCTTCAATACTTTAAAGAGGCCTTTACGGCATAGTTGACTATTGCAATACATGCCTTTATTTCTCTACTGCTGCCCCCATGACCTTTAATTGTGGATACAAGTAACATGAAATCCTTGGCGACTTCAATCTTTTTTCCATTTATTATGTTTCCTATTGGTCCAATTGAAGATTTCTGTGTTCTTTACATTGAGATTCACTCCAGAATCTCTGATTTTCATCAGCAAGTGATTCAAGTTTTCCTCAATTTCAACAAGCAAGATTGTTTCATCTGAATATTATTCTTGTTTCCCATTCTTCTTCATAATGTATTATGACTTTATTTCTCCTACTTGCAGAGCACTACTCCACTGTGTGTATGTATCACATTTTTAGTTAACCCATTCAGGTACTGATGGGCATGTAGTTTATCTTCACTTTTAGACTATGTTGAAAAATGCTGAAATGAATTTTGGTATGCAATCTCTTTGTTTTTACTTTCATGTCTTTTTGTTAAATTGTGGAATTGAGTCATCTGGCAGTTCTAATTTTAGTTTTTTTGAGAATCTGCCACACTGTTTTTACACAATGACTGAGCATTTTACATTCCCATCAGCGGTGACTATGTGTTCAAATTTCTTCACATCCGTACCGACATTTTAATTTTATTTTATCTTAGACATTTTAGTGGAAATGAAATGGTATCTGTGTTAGTCCAAATAGACTAGAGAAACAAATTCATAGACATACTCATATGTGTATAAGAAAAATCTTTATATACAAGAGCAATTTAATAATGAGGATACATCTGAGCCCAGTCCAGATCAGGTCCAAAAGTCTGATATTAGCCAATATGTCTGATATCATTCTATAAGTTCCTCTTCAGACTCATGAAACACATGCAATAATACTGAAATCAGGAAGATCACAGGCCAGTGGATGGAAAGTTTTGGAGATCCAGTGGCATTGTAAGCATCTCAGCTATGGCAG